TATATAAACTGTTACTAAATTTCATTTAAGTCGTTATTGTAATGCCAGTTCGTTCAAGTCGCATATGGATATGGTCCCACTATACTTTTACATGTCATATCGAACGAGATATTTTATATTTTTGATTACCTACATATTATAATGACATTTTATAATATTTAACGACAAATTAACAGTTATGAATTTCAAGTAGGTACGTGTACGTTCATCAAACATTGTTTATCGATAACTGCAGCGAGAAAAAAAATGTATGATGGTTAAACTGTAGTATGGTTATACTTAGTATATTTTTATAATTAAATCTGTTCAGATAGCAAAAAGAGAAATCTGAACACGAGTTATACGTTTCAAAAAATTTGAAAAATGTACTCAAACGAARATTTTTTTCAGAAACACACCTGGTACGCCGCCAAGTATTGGATGTGTGAGTTCATGTGCCTGGCAAACATCGTGCTGCAGATATACTGGATGAACAAATTTTTCGCCGGAGAGTTCATTACGTACGGGCTGCGCGTCATCGGCATGTCTACCGAACATCAGGATAACCGGGTGGACCCAATGGTCTTCATATTTCCTCGGGTGACCAAGTGTACTTTCCACAAGTTTGGACCCTCTGGGACAGTGCAAAAGCACGATTCGCTGTGCGTGTTGCCACTGAATATCGTAAACGAGAAGACTTACATATTCATATGGTTTTGGTATCTACTGCTGTTGTTGGCGCTGGTCTTAATGATCTGTCACAGGTACATTTTATTTTCGTGGTATCGAGAACCAGGGAGGGGACGGGTGTTAACATTGCTTCCCCCAATAGCATTGCTTCCCCCTATTAGCATTGCTTTCCCCTGTCACAGGTACCTAAACAATCATAATATTATATAATCTCAATGATAATTTATTTATTATAGATATATAAATGGGAATGCATCATGACGAAATAAATATTGAACCCAAATTCATATTTGTATTAATATTATATAATTTAGTATGGTTAGGTAATAGTTGTGGTTTAAAATAACTAAATTATATAAGTTAGCTATAGCCAACGTTAAAATGTTGTAAATATTCTACATTTCATTTTTTTAGGTAGGTACATAGTTATATTTTGGTACAACTATAAAAAAGTAAATCATAATTTAAATAAATAAAGATATTATATGGGGAATTATTATAGRTACTAAAATATATATTTTTTATTTTTTTAAATGTAGAAAATGAATAAGCATAAAAAGTAAATCAAAATATTTTTAATTTCTTTGTTAGTATATATTATTCGWGTATYACATACTATGGAWTAGGTACAATAAGTTTGTTACATTTACAAGGTACAAAGACAATATAACTTATAAGATAATTTGACCTAGCAATTCKATAAACTTAACACTAATATCTTTGTATATTATATAAATATGAACTGATATGAGATCGATACGTTTAAGTATATATCGTTGACATGACTATAWATGGTAAAAACAGATAAAGTTTTGGTACCATATAGTCTAGCACTCTAGCAGTGTTTATGTTGTGAATTTAACGTAGTATGTTTTTTAACGACTCTCATTTCAAGTGTAYTACAAATATGGCGTTTGCATTTATGAAGTTATTATATAGCATCGTAGCATTATAATTTTAAACTTAATATTATTTATTTATATGAAGGTATAATATGCCAAATATGTGCAATTGTCAATTATTGATTAAATATTTAACTTATAGTATTATACCTAGTACAGAGTTAAAGTTGCATAAAATTTCAATTTATTATAAAGTAACGATATAATATGTTAATATTTTTAAACAGTTGGTAAAAATAAAAATAATGGCAAGCGGCATTAACGAGCGTAGCCTTAAATTAGTAATTACACTACACCCAGGCGTTTACTTACAATACAATGCACCTTATACTTTTACCGTTTTAAAAATGCATATAATATGTTTTTCGCTATTTCTATGATAATTTTTAAAACGCCGTTCAGTACAATTCACTAGAAATCCGTTTTAGGTTTTCTCTTTAATATTTTTCATTCGATTTCTAAACCAGCTATAGGTCTAACCCAGTGTTTCCCAACCTTTTTACCACCACGGACCACTTCGACAATATTTTATAGATCGCGGACCACCTCAATTTTACGCAAACTAGAATGACCTTTTTTTTTTTGCTCATTATCAAGAATACACAAAATTTATCGAAAATGTTAATTTTTATTATTTTACTGTACTATTATAATATAATTATTAAACTTTACTAATAATATGTCATCAAAGCGATATTACGGTGAAATAAAATGTTTTTCACTGTTAAAAAAAAAAATAATATTTTTTAATAGAAAACGAAGAAAGGTACCGCGGACCACCTATATGACTGGCCCACGGACCGCCGGTTCGGAAACACTGGTCTAACCTAACCTATAGTATAGGATATATGGTATAAATATCGGGGTATTCGTACTGTACATTAAACATAGTTATAATAATCATAATATACATCAATATTTCATCATAATTCATAATAATAATATATTATATATATATATATATATTATACATGTATATACGTGATCGATTACCGGGTAGAAAATAACTAGCTCACAGCAGACGCTAAGACTATAATAATATAATAATAATAAAATAATAATAATAATTATATCACGATGTATATAAAAGTGGTTTGTAGGTATAAGAAATAAGTTTAGAAGTATATATTTTTTTCGTTTAGATCTCAATGGTTTTTCATGTACGAGCTCGTTAAAACTAGTCTCGTGGTATTCGACGGCCAAAATAGTGTGCGTACATAGAAAACACCTCTGCAGACGTCGCGTAGTCTTAAAATAATATTACAATTTACGATAAATTCGTGACAACCCACCCAGTCAATTAAGGGGCGCTTCCTATCTGACCCTCGACTTTATTGTMTCCCGTCAATTTCATCATTCGAATATTTTCTAGATTTTAAAAATATCAATATAGCATCCACTTGAATTGTCTCTTATTTTAGGTAATGACCTTTTTGTACCTACCAGAGTCTCTTTTTATAGATAAATAAAATGTCTAATTCAGTTGGTTTTTGTTTTTAATGAAAAACTATTAAGAATGTTTATGTACAATTGTATATAAACGACAGTCAATTCTGCAGGATATGATAAGTCCGATTTTAACTGCAGTAGGAAAAATTAATGCATCAAATAAATTTAATGATAAGTCAATGTCGATTGATTAATAAATATTATTATGATTAATATTTTAATAAATAGACAAACACATATTTTTAAACATTACGGAAATCGTTATAATAATCTATATTACACTCCGGTACATCTGCCGACATATTAATCAATAATCTATAGCTAAACAATAAGAAACAATTCTAGTGAAAAAAGGTCATCTACCTTTAAAATTGGGAGGCAATTCGAGATTGTCTCGCTATAAATTGACTGCGATGGTTAAATAATAATTCGTTCGGTTTCGGTTTTTTTCTTAATTCTAGGGTGTTGATCATGTACAGCGCGACCGCCAGAAAGAACGCGTTGCGGTACCGCCACTACAGGTTGATAACCGACGACGTCGCCAAAGCCGTGACTAACAAAGTGTCGTTGGGCGACTGGTGGGTGCTGTACATGCTGGGAAAAAATCTGGATCCAATCATTTACAGAGAAGTGGTGCGTGAAATTGCGAAAAAAGCTGATAACTGATGACCACGTGATGATGACTGCCGCTCGGATATTCGCGGATTATTCATTATCACCACCATCGTCATCAAGACTGCGATCATCGGTGTTCAAATCCTCATCTTTATGATATTATTTTTGTGTATATTACACGATAATAATATTACGACATTATAATATAATATTGTCGGGAGTCGACTTAATTATTTATTTTTTTCGTTTTAAATTTTAGATTCAGTATAAATCCTGTTTTCTTTTTTTTCCACTACACGTACCACCGTGTACTTATACTTCTAATTTATTATTAAAAATTTGTATTCGTCGTTTATTGTTAAAAAATGTGTGTTCCACGAACACGCTAGTATAACATAATACGTTCATGTCTATATATTATGATATATTGATACATATCAAAGTACAAACAGTAGTTGCATACGAACAACATGCGGACAAGACTACTATAATATTACGATATATTTATATAATACCATTAATRCAAATTGTTTTGTTTAGATTTTTTTTTWTATTTGTAAACGACTGTAAACTACTATTTATTATTGTATAATTGTATCCTATTCCTAGATTTAACACGTTTTTGTGTTATTATTTTTATTTTTGAATGCTCGTACGATACGTWTACCAACGCATTTGCAAGCAAAATATTAAATAATATCTTGGAGAGATCAAAATTATAATATAAACCAGTGCTTCTCAACCTTTTTTGTTATAGGGACCCTTAAATTTAATGTAAAACTATCAAAGCCCCCCAAAAATTGTATTATTATTTAATAACAGTATCCAACATCAGACCTTATCGACAATGATTAATCATACGGTCSGTTATAATAATATATAACTGAATAACCGAAAATGTTTTAAATAAAATAAAATATTTCAAGCTCTCTCCTCCAGGCACATAGCTACGGCCACCAGTTTGAGAAGCACTGATATAAACTATTAAATTATGACTACCTATAATACAGGTGTACTATATTATAGTACCTATATGGATATATATAT